TAGGTGTGTGTGTGCTGACACTTTAGTATAGGGAGCAAGTCCAACTATTAACTTGTGGCTTAAAACTTGCCTAATATTACGAGTTTTTCTGTTTATTAGTACTTATTTTACCTGATCCTATTCTACATCTTTAATCTTCCCTAATACCTAAAGCCAACTACAACTTTAATAACTGATAATAAGCTCCAAGTTAGTAGTTTAGTGCCCTTAAAGTCTAATGGTTTGTTAATAGCGTGGGTTGTACCTTAAAACAAAGTGTGAAACACTATTTCACACAATTTTGGATATTAAAAATGATTGTTCAGCTTAGCATGCTTGTTGAAAATATGTTGGGTTGTTTCAACCCAAATTTGGGTCAAATATGGACAAACCCATTCATTGTTGTTAGATTTCCTTTAAAATTAGTAAACAATTAAACAGTTGACCCAAATTTGATCTGATACATGGTTTTTATTATATTATTTCTATGTATACTACACATTTTTGTTAGAAAAAAAACTAAATTATTATTGTCTTTTTGTCACTTTTAATAAATATAACAAGGCCTTGATGAAAGAAAGTATAAATATAATTCAAATACATGTTAATACAGCAACAAATACAACATTGCAAATGCAACTTCTCTAATAACATGTATAGCAATTCACTATTTAATAAATAATTGCAGCAGTGTTTGCTTTTTGGAATATGATGGTCGCCATTCGCTTACTTTTAAATCCAAATGGTCATCTTCCCAACCCATCTGCAGGTAAACTTCCTATCTGTCTCTTTAAATAGGAAAGCACATGGCTCTATATCCCAGCTGCAGCGTGCAGAGACTCACTGTCTTGCTTTGTCGTGGTAAATCCTTTGTTCACAGGGTCTCCGTTAATTATTCCCCATGCAGATTTGAACAGATTTCTTTATCGCTAACTTAGAGATGTCTACTCTCCGCAGTCATAGCTTCCTCTGTGATCCATAAATATCTCCGGTGATAGAAATACAATCCTGTCCACCGAACGGCAGCCCAGAGGTGCAGTCAGAATTGTATGTGAGCTCCAATGAAGTCATTGAACCCTGGTGATGGGTGGTAAAGTTGAACAGCTGTCTCCGTCACTGCTGCATCTAATTTCCCTCTCAGATAAGAGATGTGGAGAAGGAGGAGGTGTAATTGCTCACCCCTGAGTCACGGCTACCAATCTCTGCATGTCAAGGGGGGTTAAGAGGGGGGTTTCTCTTTCAGTTGCTGCGTTTAACATTCCTTCCACAGGTCCCCTGCTCTTTTATGAGGCTTCCCGCAGAAGATAAAGTGTGTGTTTTATTCTGATGGTTGGATTGAATATTTCAGAGCGAATGTGTTGGACAAAAGTGAAACACTAGAAGCTCAAACAATGAAGATTAGCCCAAACACACCCCTCCCCCACACCTGTTTGGTCTAATTGTTCCCTCAGACAAAAGACACAGAGGAGGAGCATACTTTCTTTGGTTTTGGCTGCATTGATTCCCTTTCATTCAAATAGCAAAGAAATTTTACACTTCATGTAAGACACTACAGGCGGTTTTTATCCCATGCGATAACAAATTTGAAACTTGGGGCTATTTTGATGCTAAGTGATGATTGGTGGAAAGAACACATCTAAAACATACATTTGCTGTATGATTTTAAAAAATGACCCAAAAACAAATTCAGTAGCCAGACTTAGACGGATATATTTTATTATTTCTTTGTCTTAGAATAAAAATCGGAAAATGAGTTGTATACAAACTTAAATTGTGATATTAATATAAACGTAGAGTTTTTCTGAAAAAGAAAATGTAAGAACGGAAAGGAAAAATTCAGATTTGCGAGATATAAACTCAGAATTCTGAGTGAGGATAAGCCAGAACGGCGAGATATAAACTTAAATGTGCATATGTCTATGCTTTCTCCCAATTCTGACTTTCCTCTGGAAATGTATTAAATTAGATAATGCCTCTTTTGTGCATAACAATTGAGAAAATATAATACAAAGTATTTTTTATGGACAGAATTTCAAAGCGCAGCCTTGGGCTGGAGAGGGTCCGGTTCAAGGACAACAGGATCTCATCTCTTTTATTCTCAGACGATGTTGTTCTGTTGGCTTCATCGAACATAAACCTTCAGCATGCTCTGGGGCAGTTTGCTGCAGAGTTTGACACAGCTGGGATGAGAACCAGCACCTCCAAGTCTCCAAGTCTATGGTGGTCCACCGGAAAAAGGCCATCTCCAGGTTGGAGGAAAGTCCTTACCCCAGGTTTAAGAATATTGGGGTTTTGTTCATGAGTGAGGTAAGGATGCAAAGTGAGATTGACAGTCAGTCAGTTGGTGTTGCGGACGCCGCCCTCTCTATACTCTATACTGCCGCCCTAGGCGGCCGCCTAGGTCGCCTCTATGGACGTGCCGGCCCTGTTCATCTGCAAAGATATTCAGCCTAGTGTCACGGAGAACGAAGGTTTTAAACACCTCCTTCTGTTAATTTTTATTTAATAATAATAATAATAATAATAATAATAATTATAAAAATAATGGATGTCACGGTGGCACAGTGGGTAGTTTGACCACCTCACAGCAAGAAGATTTTGGTTTGTTATATTTTTATTAGCCTGTTGTTTGCAATGCTAAACCTTTATGTTGAAAGAGTGCAAATATATATAATTTAATACATATTGCACTTATACATTCTGTTTATCTTGAAAATACTTAAATAATATGTGCTATATGTTCTAAAATGGCCCTCTACTGTAAACTGACACTCTGGCTCTGAGAGAAAAGCCAGTTTGTAAAAAAAGTCTTGGTTTTGCTTGGTTAATAAATAATCAAACTCATTCAATGGCACAGCATCCTCTTTCACATAATCTCATAAACTTGATCTAATTAGTTAGTGCTGAATTATCGCATTGTATCGTGATATGGGTGTAAATTGTATCGTGTTGCATCGCAATATGTCACAAATGTATCGCTAATATATCGGATCGTATTCTTTGTATCGAGATGTGTATCGGATCGGCATTATAGCTTAGATGCCCAACCCTAGTGCAGCGGCAGCAATAATGCGGTCAATGTACCTATCCGTTGTGGTAAAGAAGGAGCTGAGCCGAAAAGCAAAGCTTTCGATTTACCAGAAAAAAATGATCATGAGCTTTGGGTCATGACTGAAAGGACAAAATCTCAGATACAAGCGGTCGAAATGAGTTTCCTTTGCCGGGTGGCAGGACGTGCCCTTATAGATAGGGTGAGGAGCTCTGTCATCTGAGAAGAGCTCGAAGTGGACCCGCTACTCTTACACATCAAGAGAAGTCAGATAAGGTGGGTGCCTACCTAGGATGCCTACCTAGGGAGGTGTTCCAGGCATGTGCCACTGGGAGGAGGCCTCTGGGAAGACCCAGAACACGCTGGAGGGACTATGTCTCTCGGCTGGCCTGGGAATGCTGCGGGATTCCCCCGGAGGAGCTGGAGAAAGTGTCTGGGGAGAGAGAAGTCTGGGGTTCTCTCCTAAGACTGCTGCCCCCATGACCCGGCCCAGGAAAAGTGTTGAAAATGAATGAATAATTAATAATTCAAAGTATGTCTGGAAGGGGCGACTTGGTGACGCAGTGGGTAGTGCTGTCGCCTCACAGCAAGTAGGTCGCTGGTTCAAGCCTCGGCTTGGTCAGTAGGCGTTTCTGTGTGGAGTTTGCATGTTCTCCCCACGTTCGCATGGGTTTCCTTCCGGTGCTCCGGTTTCCCCCACAGTCCAAAGACTGTGTGACGATGTATAGGTTAATTGGGTAGGCTAAATTGTCTGTAGTGTAGGAGTGTGAATGAGTGTGTATGGATGTTTTTCAGAGATGGGTTGCAGCTGTAAGGGCATTCACTGCGTAAAACATATGCTGGACAAGTTGACGATTCATTCCACTGTGGTGATTATTAAAGGGACTAAGCTGGAAAGAAAATGAATGATTGAATGAATGAATGAATGAATGAGTGAGTGTCTGGAAGTCCTAATGTAAAACATCTGCTATATATGGTGACATTTTTCAACTACATAAGGTCTTGATATGGCAAGTGTTTATTTTTAACTGATTTGTTACTTTAAAGTCACTATGAATATAAATCTTGACTCTTTATATTCCACTTTCTTTATATAATGGACATTCTTTCAGGAACACACCTTATCTGTCCCTGAATTAAAAACATAAATACATTGAGTAAAAAGTATTTCAACCCAAAAATGTCTAAAATGGACTGATGGCTGGTTTCTGTGAGTTGCTCTGTAAAGGAATATGTCATTTATTTGGTTCTCAGATTTTTGTTCTTTATTAAAAGACTTTACACTGTACAATCTCTGCAATTAACCATGTCCTCAGCCCAATTGAACCTACGGCTTTAATAGTTTTGATATGCTAAAAAAACTTCAGAAATAGCAAGTTTAAGTTGTTATCGTTCACATCAATTGATAAAAAACCCATAAAATTATAAATAGATTCTACAAATAAATACTACAGATATATAATACAAATACATTTACTTTTTTTCTATCAATCCTGTCACATTTGCATTAAATTTTACATAAAATGCGATGCAATACACATTTAAGGCTATTACTCATAACATCATATGACGGAGAAGAAGCTGAAAGTGATCAAGGATGCAATAGATCATTGAATTGTATGATTTGATGCTTGTTTTTGTATGGTTTTTTGAGGACGACAAGCTTAAGTCAGGCTCAGTCAAATGTTTTATAAGTGAAAATGTAAGTTTCTGGTAGAACGTCCCATACACAATTTATTCATGCATGTAATGTTTTAGTTTCATTTCATTACAAACGTTCTAACAACCCACTCAATTCTGAATGGACAAAATCAAATCCCAACCTGCTGTACATTTATTTTTGTATGACAAGCTGTTTAACTCTGATATATGCCACAATAGAGAAGAAAAGACCATTGCAATTTCATTTCCCTTGATTTTTGACTGATGCTGATCATAAAGTAATGACAAAGAAATAAGACTGGAAGTGTACCTTGAGAGAGTCGCACAGGTTTGTTGACCGGCAGTCCGTCCATGCTGCACTGGTTTCCACAGGGGTGAAGTGTGATGATTCCAGCCCTGTTCTCAATAAAGCAGTGCTGAGCTGCGACCCCGGGGCCCTGTATGCTGATGTCCATGGCTCCATGACCCACAGTCGTCTTCCCTACAACAAACAAACACCACAGGATGTTGATTTCACAGACTGTTTACTCTCAGACAGCATGCAATAGCTGAACTTTCTGGGTGAAAATCACTCAGGTGAAGAGTGGAAAAGAACTGCTCATCAAGCTGAAAACAGCTGTTGTAGAAACCAACATGCAGTTTTTTTTCAGGATTCTTTGATTAATACATGTAATTAAAAAAAAGCTTTAATTGTAATTGCAATTATTTAACATGATCATTTACAGAATTTATGGGCAACTTCCATTCATTTAAAGCATTCTTGATGAGTAAAACATTTACTTCCTTTAAAAATGTTACTGATCCTAAAGCTTTGGAAATAAACATAAACCACTCCAATGTAAATGATGTGAATATTTATCTATATTTATATCTAACGTTTTTATCTATACATTTTTATATAAATTACTAACTTGGCATAATGTCCACGACAACCAGTTTTACCATTTAAATTAAGTCCAAGTTATTAAACCATAAAACCACCAGATAAAACCACCAGAAAGAGCTTAATATCAATATAATAGGGCTGCACAATATTGAAAAAAGCTAAATTTTTTTATGATGTATATTGTGATATTGAATATATCATTTCACTTGATAAAATGAATATGTCTATTTAGAAAGAACTCATAATTTTTCGATAAATTGGAATGATTTTGTACAGGAGTGCATCTACAGGTGAAGTCAGAATTATTTGCCCCCCTTTGAATTATTATTATTATTTTTAATATTTCCCAAATGATGTTTAACAAAGCAAGGACATTTTCATAGTATGTCTGATATTTTTACTTCCGGAGAAAGTCTTATTTGTTTTATTTCGACTGGAATAAAAGCAAACATTTTTATTTTTTTTAAATCCATTTTAAGGACAAAATTATTAGCCCCTTTAAGCTATTTTTTTCCGATAGTCTACAGTCTACCATTGTTATACAATAGCTTGCCTAATTACCCTAACCTGCCTACTTGTTAATCTAATTGACCTAGTTAAGCCTTTGAATGTCAATAAGCTGTATAGAAGTGTCTTGAAAAATATCTAGTAAAATATTACTTACTGTCATCATGGCAAAGTTGAAATAAATCAGTTATTAGAAATGATTATTAAAATTATTGGTTATTATTGGTTATTAAAACTATTATGTTTAGAAATATATTGAAAACATTTTCTTTCCCTTAAACAGAAAATGGGGAAAAAATAAACAGGGAGGCTAATAATTCTAACTTCAGCTGTACATAAAGTATAATATAATATAAACCAACCACAAACATTAAGAGATGTAGTAGAGCAACAATACTGAACAAATAGAACATACAGTGCTGTAAGATTTTCTGGAAGTCTAGCAATATTTAGTCTCACAAATTTAAAAATCAAATGTAAAATAACACCCATATGCTTATATATCTCATATATAGACATAAATGTAATTAATTTTCCTTAGAGTTAAACATGTAATTCATTATGCCTGAATATTTTTAAAGTATAGTAAAAAATGTTAAAAACACACACAAATAATAAATGTTTTGGTAACTTTACGGTTAAACGTAGCAAAAACTTGCTTTTTAAATTCTATTGAATAATAATAGATTCAACATTGCACTTCCTGCGATGTGACTATTGTGGACGCCCAAATTGCAATATGGATAATGAAACAATATAATGTGCAGCCCTAAAAAATAAGATGCGTAATATGATTTAAAGTAAATATTATTTGTAAACAGAAAACTAATCCTGTGAATCAGGTTCAGTCAAGTTTAATTCAGCTAAAAAAGGTAAATTAAGAAATATATAACTATACTGTATATAAAGATCTAATGACGACTTGCAAGATCTAAAAATGTGTACATTTTTATCAAAACACAATGCATAATCTAAAATGAATTTGAAATTTCACTATGGTGGACAAGGTCACAGACATAATTCCAAACGTATAATAAGATCGCATAATTATAACAATATTTTTATCATACACTGTAAAAATGTTCCACATAATCGATTTTGTGTTGGGACAACATGAAGGAAGTGTGAACTGAACAGCAAACAATTAAGTTGTCACAAAAAACAAACTCAACTATTGTGTTGTAAGTAGTTTCAACAAATAGCAAACGTCATTTTTTGTGTGTAATAATGTTGGATATAATAAACAGGCACTCAAAACAAAAATAAAAAGACTAGTAAGAGCGTATAATGATGTTTTAAGAGAAGGATGTGCCAAAATTGTGACTTTAAAACATCATCAGCATGTATCATTTACCATCTTCCAGAGCTTTGCCTATAATGTTAAACAAAACTGAACCTAAATGGCTGATGCGGCCCTGCTTTTCGTCACTGAAAAGAAACACATTCCTCCAGCCGCTTCACCCTCGTCTGTTATCAGGCATGCGATAACGGCCTGTGACCTGATGGGACCCCCAAAAGTAATAAGAATACAGACACCAATATAAATTAAATTAAACTCTTCTCCCTTGCCCCTTTCATAAGGTAATTTCTCAAAGGCTTCATGGTAATTGCCAGTGTCTCTGAGAACTTCATGCAGATGAAGAGTGATAAAGAAGACAGTGCTGCGAAAGGCTGGTCAGTATCAGAGAAAGTTAGTGGTGGGGGGTTTGTGAAAAGGGGCTTTCTCTAATGAAGACATGCTTTTAAAGACCCCACACTGCTAAGGCTCAGGATCAGGTTATTGGCTTTTCAATCAGGTGGGAGAGCAGATCTGACCATCTGTGTACATTGGTATTATTTAAGGGTTTTTGTGTCACACACAATAACACTACTACATTCTATTTGAAGATACTTTCTGCTGTTTGTAAAGATAAAGATGTGTTTGAGACAGCTCATGTACACTTAGGCCGTACTCACACTAGGTACAGTTGCCTCGAACCGGGCCAAAGCACGCTTGTCCCCCCTCCTGTCTCCCCTGATGACCCGCACTCACACCATATCAGGCCTCGGCACGCTTACGTCATCACCGCTGCGCTGTTCAGTGAGAAGCGCTCTCTCACTCAGCAGCACAGTGGAGATTTCTCTAGTTATATCGTTTCAGTCGTTTGTTATGCAGTGACATGCAGTCAAATATTTCGCCAAACAGTCCTTAGGGATGCGGTGACACGCAGTCAGATATTTCGCTGAACAGATCCGCCACTTTTGCCGCTCATAATCAATCATAAAGCTCTCGTGCTGCAGGATTGAGGAGGTCTGCTGAAGCCGCGCAGCTGTCGTGCTGTGAGGAGTTCTCGTCTTTAATAAGCTACGGCAGTTTGCGTTCATTGAACAGTTATAAGAATGATTAATAAATCCATATGAAACAGCCCCTTAAAAGTCACGTCTCGCTTTCAGTTTCGGGCTTTGGTGCGTTTTGCACTCACACACAAGCGTACCGTGCCGAAGCCCAAGTGAAACACGCTCAGGCACACCTCTTCCAACCGGGGCCAGGGCCGGCCAAGTGAACCGTGCTTGAGCCCGATTCAGCACACTCACACTTCTCAAACGATCCGGGAAACGGGCCTGGGCACGGTACGGATGGCATAGTGTGAGTAGGCCCTTAATTGTCCTGTTTATATCTGGTATAAAGATGTGGGTTCTCCTTTAGACCTGTTTTTTGCAGGGGAGTTGAAGGTCTATAAGCCTTTTCTGATCTTTTGATAGTAATATTGCAAATTAATATGCACAATTTGCATATGAATCTTGAAGAAAATAGTGTAAAACAATACTGAAAGCAGCAGCTTTTGTGTTTGCCTTGCTAGTTACAGAACTAGAGTGAATGCTGTGAGATTGGACAATCAGGACTTAAGAACAATGTGCTTTTTATTTTTTTGCTTCAAACCAAATTTACAATTTTAGATGGCAAAGTGTAAATGCCATCTGTTTGGTCCACTTCAACAAACTACAAAATACCAAGACATGTCACTAGTATAGCTTTGAATTTGGAAAATTGTAACCGTCAATATGGCAAATGAAGTCATGCCTTCTAGTACAGTAGCCAATCATCGCTTGCTATAGACTGGCATTTCTTTGGGAGAGGGGGTCGGACCAGACATGTGTTCTTTATGACAGTTCCTGCAATGGTTATTAATCCTCTGGGGGTTAACAAACCACTGGAACCTCAGAGAATACTTGAGAAATGAGAACAATTTTTACACAAAGCTTGAAATCTCGACTTTAAAACAAACCAAATTCACTTGAAAACAAATGTTTTTGGGTTTGTAATCTATATGAAACATACGAACATCACATGACAGTGACTACAACAAGTAAACAAAGAGGCCACTGTCATTTTGGGAGGAGATCAACCACGTTATTATTTACTTCAGAAGACCATCATGATCAGACGAGGCATTAATTAAAGGATTTTCCAGGTGGTCAGAAATGTGGCTAGTTTTTAAGAGTTCGTACAATTTCAGTGACATGAAAACGTATGATTTTAAAAGGGTGTAGCCCCAATTCCCACCCCTAAACCTAACCATTGATTGGGATTAGTAAATCATTTTAAAATATACAGATGAGATTGTATAAATGAATTCAAATTAGCCCTTGCTATTAGCATTGTTCATTCAACATTCATTTGTGATTTGTGCAGTTGAACCTATTGCATATGCATCTGTAGGAGTCTGCCTTTCAGAATGAAATATTAAAGGAGGAGAGTACACTAAGAAATAAATTGCTAATTTGTAACCTCATTTAATTATAACACACATTACCACTTATTTTAGTTTGATAGTTTGATCAAGCAACAAACGTTTATGCATAGTGGAAATGAGCTGCTTTGTCTATGTTCTCCATGGTGTTGTCAGTAGATCCCTTTCAAACTCTCAGAATGGTCCTATATGGAATTGCACTCTCATGCTAATTTGCCCTTTTTAGTAAATCAGACCCTGATCATCTTACCTTCAGGCAGGGGTAAGAGGGTGATGGCTGTACTGAGACGCCCACTTCCCAGACTGACTAAATGGGGGCGCTCTGCTTGAACCTTCAGTGCCTTTCCAGTCTCAATAAGATCCAGTGGAGTACTCTAAAAAAAAGCAAAGAATTACATAAAAATGGTTTCATTATAGTCTCATCTCATCACCATAGAAACATTTCCATTACACACACACCTCAAAATCTCAGCAGATGTAGTGGGTCATTGAAAAACATTATTTTGAATACAGTGTGTCATTTGGAACTCTTCCGATTTCTGATGACTGATTTTCACATAGAAAATGTGGCTTAAGTATTTAGATGCAGCATTTTTTAATGGGAAGCACAAAATTAGTTATTTAGCAAAATACCCCAGCTGCTCCTTTTTAATACAAATACAAGAAAATCAGAACCATTGATGGCTGACCAGTTTGACTAATTACAGATACTCACATACAAGGAATTGTACTTTGTGCTTTTGCTTTTACTTGAGTATATTTTTAGTGCTGTTTTGATGTGCAGCACTATCTTCCTTCAAATTGCAGTCATTAATTTAAATGTTTGTTTTTCTAGTCTACTGTGTAAGGCCCCGTTTTCACGAATAAGTTTTAAAATGCTCAAGTTTTGCTACGGTAACGCCATCCATCCACACTACGCTGGGGTTTTGGAATCGTCGAAAACAGAGCATTTTGAAAACGCTGAATAGGTGGTTTTCATTCTAAAACGCTGCTGTTCCGTCTCAGTATAGATGGGGGAAAATGGAGACATCTGAAAACGCAGGCGGCGCTGCAGAGATTTATCTCTCTGATTGGGGCTTTTTCCTCAATATTAAGTAGCCTACACGAAGTTCAGTCCTGCATCCTCTCCTTGTAAGTTCAGACTTCGCAAGTTTGATATGGAAAACAAACTCCCGAGGACAAGTTGGGTAGATTTTCAAAGGGAACAGTGTACTTTATAACATCATTCACATCACCCTGCCTTTGTTGTTTCACTTTCTTAACAATAAAATGAAAACATGATATGAGGAACTGCTATTTTCATTTTGATATTAGCAACATAACAGAAAGCAGAAATGTTAAGGCATCATGTAGCTACATATTTATATGAATGTCATCTTCACTATGCATATTTATTATAACAAAACAGAGCCTATAACATCACTGCCTTCTTTCATTTTCACTGAAAATATGAAACATACCCTCTCTTTTGCTGAATATCAGTTTTTATAATCAATAATGGCCATTATATAAGTAGAACGTACAATATATTTATATAATTTAGGAAATGAAGGCAAACAATCAGTCAATATACAGAATGTATGTAGTTACATTAATTATTAACTTATCTTTGTGCTCAGCCAAAACATGTTACCTGAGAACAAGTAATAGATTCATTAAAAGACCAAAGTCGGGGAATGTGTCGTTAAATATAGACAACAAGATGAATTCAATATCACGTTTACTAAATATACTGAGATTAGCACCAACGGTAGATCCTTGATGAGCAGTCTGACGTGCACACCTCTCATGTGGGTAGATATGCTGCAGCGCATGCCAGAGTGTGTGTGTGTGTGTGTGTGTGTGTGGTCACGTGATGTGCATTTTCAGCGGTTTAATGTAGACGCAGAGTTGTTCAGAAATGCTGGGTAAACTGCTATTGTGGACGCGGATCACTTTCATTCTAAAATGCTGTATTAAACTAAATGTACTAGTCAGTGTAAACAGGGTCTAAGTAGAATAATCAGTCCTGTATCCATCCAAATCGTGCACAGAAAAATTGCTTTATGGAGTAGGAAAGCCTTCAAAATGTCCAAGAAAACACACAATTATTAAAAGCAATGACTAAGACTGTTTAGACTGTACATCACTGATGAGAAGATGAAGAATGCTGACTGTATGATGACTGAAATCCTCAAATGGCTGTAACAATAACTAGATGCACGTTTTTAAATAAATACACAACTAGCATGTGTTCTATTAGTTCTGCATGAACTTGGTTTGTGGCACCAACTGCTGGACACTTGTAGCTTGTTAGTCAGGGTTCAAAGTCATGACCTAAGCATTAACATATCGTCACAGCTAGATTTTTGCCCCTTGGGGTTACACAAATTTCCCTCCGCATGTAAAAACATTAACCTGCTTCCTGTTCGCTTATTATAGGTGTAAAGTATATGCTAATCTAATGTGTTCTCACATTAAATGAATCTTATTTTAAATTTTATTATCTCACAAGTTTATTGTCCATGAATGGCAAACAATTGAAACTAAAAAAAAAATGTCACTGATGTACCGTACACTGTTAGACCTTACCGGGCATTTTTACAGTAGAATACTGGCAACACTGTTGCCAGTTACTCACTGTAAAAGTTTGGTTACAGTAAGTAACTGGCAACAGTGTTGCCATTTAATTACTGTAACTGAACCATTACAGTGAGTGGCTGGCAACAGTGTTGCCAGTTATTTACTGTAACTGAACCAATACAGTGAGTAGCTGGCAACAGTGTTGCCAGTTAATTACTGTAATAGAGCAGTAGTGGTAACTAACTGGAAACTGTTTACAGTTAATTACTGTACTGTAGTGTTACAACTCACAGCATTATACTGCATACACATTAATATTATGTCATAGTCTTACTAAAATTAATTAGTATTCTTACCTGTTATTAAAAATAGAAGGCATAAAAATTTAGACAAATGTATTTTATTGTTTTGGCAGCAAACAAATATACAACAGAAAATGTATAACAAAATTAAGAAATCAGCAGATATAAATATCATCTTACATATTACAGGTCTGCACAGTAAGGCTGTGGTCACACTAACGTTTGAGCAAGCAAAATTCTGTCATATGGCACTGCGAAAAGAAGTGGGATTAAACAAAATAATTAGAGATTGAAAAAGCAAGCGACTGGTCCATAGTTTAAATTTTTGTTCAGACAGGTCATGTTTTGATCTTTGATTGGTCTCAAGCAATCACATGATGTGATTTCGCAGGTCAGAGATCTCCAAGTTTGAACTTTCCAATGCTGCGAACAGTTACATTTTTCGCATGAGCTAGCATTCCAGGTCTGCAGCATTTATATGCGTATGAATGGAAGTCTAAAGGGAGAAAAGTGCAGTGTGACCGGGACTTTAAGCTGTAACTCTAATTGAACACACCTGATCAAACTAATTAAGGCTTGTTAGAAATCTACAGGTAATGTTGAAGCAGGGTGTGAACTAAACTCTGCTGCGCTGCAGTCCTCCAGGAACTTGGAGTTTGACACCCATATAGCATATTTTTAAAGCAACTGCCAACATTTATCACAATCACATATCAAATAAAAAAATGCACGCATGCACACACACACACACACACACACACACACAGAAAGTGCTGCAGTAAAATGTGTTTCTCTCTCCTCGATGCTGACCATGCAAAAAAAAAAAAAACTAAACAGCAAAAAACACAAAATTTCTATTTTATTTTTTAAAGTTTCAAATAATTAAAAAATAAGCATATGAAAAGAACACGCACATACTCTCTCTCTCTCTCTCTCTCTCTCTCTATATATATATATAGAAACATGTTTGTCAAACACAAGCAGATACTGTGTCAATTCTCAATAAAAAGTTAAAATAATTCTAAAAAACAAAAACAAAGTCGGCAACACCGAAAATCCAAAGGATCCAATCTTTTATTGTTATAATTATTATCTACTTTAAAATCTCATGACCACAAACTTTTCTATTGTTTCTAATATAAATTCATAGGTGTGATTCCCTGTGATGATTTCTGTGCACGTTACCTTACTGAGGTGATGGAATTTATTGGTTTTTATGTGCATAAACTTTTAGCATCTGTACATTATTTCAATATGCAACATCCAATAAATAAATATACTTAAAATCGAGGAGAGGCTAACTAGCTAACTATGTAGCTTTCAAGTACACAGTTCAAGATAACAACAATATACACAGCCTTATTTTAGAAACCCTCAAAAACATTTTAACACATTTTACTTACTCATTGTAGATTCTTATTTAAAGCCTAAAACATCAGACTCTACATCTGAATTGATAGACAGAGAATAGAGCGCACTCATTAGTAAACAAATCAAACACCTGGCTCCCTTAAAGAGCCAGCATTTTCTGAAAACTTTTTCTAATACCTTTGTGTTTAGAATAAGACAGCCTGTGGGAGTGTGGTGATGCCTAAATCATTGTCTTCTGCCTTTAAAATGCACGTCTATATAAACAGCAACATAAAGCATCAGAGTAAATGGGACAGTAATGGTTGAACAGTAATTTGCCATTTATTGTCACACTACATAAAGTAAATTACGGTAATTTATCCTTTGCATTACACAATTTTATACAAACTCTACTCCTTTTACAGTAAAATACTGTTTCCTTTCATTACAGCAAAACACTGACTATTTTGCAGTTATTTACTGCATAATCTACAGGGTAAGAGTGCAGTTAAGCTTTAACCCTAATTAAGCACACCTGATCAAACTAAATCTAAAGGTAGTGTGTTGAAGCAGGGCTGGAAACTAAATTCTTCTAGGCTGCGGCCCTCTAGTAGTTTGACACCCCTGGAGCATAGCATATTTTCAAAGCAATTGCCTACATTTATCACAATTATGCACATATTGTTTAATAAAAAAACAATTAAAATATGCAAACTTCATACATAGCAAAAAAAAAAATGATAATAAATAATCTGATCCTTATGTCGTTCCAAATCTGTAGTAATAATAAAAAAACACAAAAATTACATGATTTATACATTTATTTAGGAAAGCCTTTATACTATACTGTTAATGCCACTTTTACTTACTTTAATTGAAGTTTTCCAAACAAATTCATTGAGTCTTTGCAAACATGTATGTACAGTCTGTGCTGTTTAAGATATATTTTTTTTAAATAACACATTTTTACTAATCATTTAGCAAAATACTAATATTCAGTTGAAAGTGCAATATAAAAGCTGATCTATAGGTTAAATTAGGCAAATTAGACTAATTATAGAAACGTAAACAAAGTTATAAGAATTATTATGACAATTTCTTCGCTCTGTGTGAATATTTTTGCCTTTAAATGCATTTCATCCATATCTTATGCTTAGCTTTTAATGATCTCTGTGGCATTGGTTGACTCCTGATATTCAATGTTAAAACATAAAAGAAACCAAAGAAAACACATGGCTGCAGTGAAATTCAGCTTATCATCAATGCAATGTCCCACTCTCCCCTCAATACTGACCATTCACATATCAAAACTGAACAGTAAATATATATAAATATATAAAATTATATAATAAATATGAATAGCAAACTAAAGCATCAGAGTAGATGGGGCAGTAATGGTTGATCAGTAATTTACCATTTATTATGGCAGTAAATATCTGTAATGGGTACATAGAGTAAATTACTGTGATTTATTCTTTGCATTACAGAATTTCATACAAATCCTGCTTCTTTTACAGTAAAATACTGTTTCCTTTCATTACAGCTAAACACCGGCTATTTTACAGTTATTTACTGCGTAATCTACAGTAAGGGTTAACAGTGTAAGCTTTAGTTTTAATTCAGGGTATGAGGTGGAAGAATTTTCACAGCATAATATTCACTACACGCTACTCTTGAGTACTTTTTAAAGGGCTACATTTTACTCACACTTTGAGTAGGATTTAAAACATGTACTTTGACTCGACTCAAACGTTGGGGCAAGTAATAGTATTTTATACTTAAAGGTCCCATGAAGTGCTTTACAATGTTCATTTTTATTCGATGTTTGACATAATCTCAACCGAAATGCGAAAAGATTGTGGAACATAGTTTAGTTTTTTCCCCTTTTTTAAAAACAGCCAATAGTGTTTTGCTTTATCACCACTCTGTTATTGAGAGTGGTAGAGATTAAGTGCATCAAATGAAAAGCAAATGAGAAGTGTATTGAAGGGGGCGGGGCATGTCAGATACTAGAGAGCATTTGATTGGTTATAATTTGATGAGAAGCTGAAGTATGAGTACACATTAATTAAACCGTTGATATTTTGGTTCGACCTGTATCATTATTTAAACATTCCCCCTACCTTTGCACATTCTTTTAGTTTAAAATAAATTATTTGTTATTACTCAGAATCAAATAAATCCAAAGAATTCATCTTTAACTTTATCTTGGTTGGAAACATTTTTAAACATAAACAAAAATGCATGTCTTTAATCTCTACTTTTTGACATTTTCTGAATGAAGTTGGCTCACTGCTCAAATCTTTCCGTATGTGTAAAAACAAAAAAATGTGCCAGATTCTTGGTATCAAATGAAGAACTGTTTTCTATTGACTCTGATTTCAGTTAGATAGCTTTTCTTTAATGTTCTTAATTTTATTTGTTTTCATACACCTTTATACAATTGCAATTTACTCACCCCTTTCTTTTGTTTTGTTAGTCTTTTTTCTGTCTGCAACTAATATAGCTTGTATTTTCTTTCTTTTGTATCTCTCTTGTATTGATCTCTTGATTATGGCTTTCATAAATTTTCATTCTTGAATAAAAAAAAATAATAAAATAAATAAAAATACTAGTAATAATAATAAAATAATACTAATATAATAATAATAATAATAATAATAATAATAATAATAAGAAGAAGAAGAAGAAGAAGAAGAAGAAGTAGAAATTAATAATAATAATGTGATAAAAAATAAATTAATAATAATAATAATAATAATAATAATAATAATAACAAGAAGAAGAAGAAGAAGAACAACAACAACAACAACAACAACAATAATAATAATAATAAAGTAATAATAATAATAAAGTAATAATAATTTAATAATAATATCATCATCAACAACAACAACAACAACAACAACATGAATAATAATAATATAAAATAATAATAATAACAAATAATAATATAATAATAATAATAATGATAATAATAATAATAATAATAATATCAACAACAATAATAACAATAATAATAAAGTAATAATAATATAATAATAACAACAACAACAACAATAATAATAATAATAACAATAACAATGCAATAATAATAATAATTTAATAATAATGTAATAATAATAATGATGATTATAAGAAGAAAAAGAACAACAACAATAATAATAATAATAATAATAATAATAATAATAATAACAATGTAATAATAATATAATTAAAATAATAACAATGATAATAATAATGTTATAATAATGATAATAATGTAATAATAACAACAACAACAACAACAACAACAACAATAATAATGTAATGAAAATAATAACAGTGATAATAATAATAATAATAATAATAATAATAATAATAATAATAATAATAATAATGTAATAAAAATAATGTAATATTAATGTGAGGAGAGCAGCATTCTCCAGTAAATATATAATGAATACTTTCCAAAAAGAAGGGCCCATAAAGCCTTTAAATGAGTAAAATGTCTGACCTAAGAGGACAATGCCATTGTTTCACACTGCTGCTGCCAAACATTACAAATGCAATGAGTCAGCACATACATCAGCTAAAACTTTGCACAATGACTTATATCATTGTGCAAACATAATATTTCATAACAATAGGAAGTTGCTCAGTAGTGACTCAAGTGGAGCTCTAGGCAGGCAGTTGAGTTCATCTTACTACTCTCTTCAACCCTAGAGAGAGAAAAGTCTTCAGTCAGACCTCAGAAAAAACTTAAAGGCTCAGCAAGGGGGAGGTCGTCATGGCAACAGTGAGAACTAGTAATGACTGTACCCTGTAATTCTGTGCGATGACATCATTCTTCTACAAGAAACGAGCTGAATCTATCAATGCACTCTGCAATTCCGAATCACAATGATTTGTATGCAAATGTGCTTCATTCTGCACAGGCTTATGCAATTTATGCACATTATTTATTTTTTTCATCTGTACAGATAATTGCAGTGCCCACCTTCCCCAAACATCCACTAAAGACATATTATCACCTCAGGGCTGCGGTGTACGCTTGAGTTTAGCATAAACCCGACTGCTTAAACAAGATTAGCAGAAGGTAATTAGTGTAATCGGTTAAAGCAGAGCTTGCAGGCTGTGAGTGAGTGATGATCATTGTGTTTTATAAGGAGGACCATCAACACATCTGCCGTAGATTATCTGGTGTGTTACTGCAGGGAGAATTCCGTGTAGATGCTGAAACAGAAGGTGATGATTGTAATGATGGCCCAGGGGGTCTTTTCACACATCATCCGATTCACGAACCCTCAATTCTCACTGCCAGACAAAAGCTCCCTCACTGAAAGGTGTCGCTATTAAGGCAGCTTTTACCTTTTTACTGTCGTACAAGCTGTTAAAAACATTTATTATGTAAAAGAGAGAGTATTTTCTTCCACTTTGAGCTAAAGTTCGAGTCAGAAAAAAGGTACAAAGCTGTGACTGGTGTGGTTTTATATACAGTTGAAGTCAGAATATTAGCCCTCCTGAATTATTACCCCCTGTTTATTTTTCTTCCGATTTCCGTTTAACAGAAAGAAGCTTTTTTCAGCACATTTATAAACATAATAGTTTTAATAACTCATTTCTAATAACTGATTTATTTTATCTTTGTCATGATGACAGTAAATAATATTTGACTAGATATTTTTAAGACACTTCTATACAGCTTAAAGTGACATTTAAAGGCTAATTAGGTTAGGCAGGTTAGGGTAATTAAGCAAGTTATTGTATAATGATGTTTTGTTCTGTAGACTATCGGAAGAGGCTAATAATTTTGACCTTAAAATGGTTCATAAAAAATTATAAACTGCTTTTATTCTAGCCAAAATAAAACAAACAATAAAAAATATTATCAGACATACTGTGAAAATTTCCTTGCTCTGGTAAACATAATTTGGGAAACATTTTAAAAAGAAAAGAGGGGCTAATAATTATTACTTCAACTATAATTGATTTATATCATACATGATAAGTAAATTTCATAACTCACCTGGAGCACCTGATGAGACTGATGCCCATGGCTAAGATTTTGGTTCAAAGTATCCATGGCCAGTGTACTGTCACTTACTTGCTCGGGGACATGAGAATCCTGCCAGAGACAAAAACAATGACACTGTATAAAATGCAGGGTTCCACACAATTCCTTTATGCTCTCCTAACACAATTTGATTAAGTTAACTCAATTGTTTTTTTTTGCAAATTAAAGTAGATTGAATATAAAACAAAAGAGATGTGCCCAAAAACCCTCAAGAAGTGTGTTGATTCAGCTCATTTTAAGCAAGTAGTTTGAACAAGCAGCAAAATATTTTTGCAGAAAACATAAAACACATATACCTTAAAGGCAATATAGCTATCTTGGTTTTAGATTCTTATTATTACAATACGTTGATGCTTGTTTTACAAAAGAAGATCAAACAGGTTTGTGTTTTAGTAAAAACAAAGGTTTCAAATAGGTGTTTTCACAACAATGCCATGTTGAGCAATCACACGTTGGCTTCCCATTGAATCATTTAAATGAAAAACTCTTAATGCTCTTAATGTGATGAACAATTTAATAATCCAAGGATCTTTTTTCTGTTATGAAAGAACCTTTTGTGCCAAAGAAACTTTCCATGGATGTGAAAGTGTCTTCTTGGAAACATTCATACCAGTAAAGAGCCTTTCACATGAGTGTACATATTGTTTTTAACCGGTGTCTTGTACTGTAGATAACAGCTGAGCCCCAGTCGAGTATCCAAAGTGCACACAATAGTGTGAGTGGGAGAAACGCAGCCTCCGGCATTCTCCGTCTGCATCCTCAGCTGACTCACTGCCTGATGAATACAGTCTGCACTCACACCAATGCCATTTGCAAACAGATAACGCTGATTTACCCCGTCAGCCAGACTCACACTGACTCTCACCGGTCAAAAGCTGCCTTTACTTCTGAGACCTGACACACACACACACAAACCTTCTGCCCTGACATTCCTCTGCTCTTACTCACATTCTTACAAAGTCTTTGACTTTAGCCTCAACAAAACACATCTGAGAACACAGAATCTCCCCAGTGGTTGCATTTGTACATTTAACTCTTGGCTTGTAGAACTGTGTACTTCTAAAAAGAAAGGTTTCTGTTGAGATTTATACAATGAGGCTTTCGAATGCTTCATTCTAATAGGTACAGAAAAACAGAGGTTTTAATAGGCCTTTTTCCACACCAATGCCATTTTTTTTGGTTCTTTTAATACCTGTTTAGTGGTAAGTTCTTTAAAGACGACTTTTTTATGATGTTAAAATCACCCTCACACACTTTCTAATAGTGGAATGTTAAAAGTTCTTCAAGTAATGATCAATGATAATTGATCAAAAGAGTTATTTTTGCAGTGATTTTCATAGAATAATCTTTGAATGCTTACAACTCACAAGAATCAGAATACACACACAAAACAAGACCAAATAAATAAAAATGTGAACCTGGTCCACAAAGCCTTGTCTTATGTAGCACGGGTATGTTTGGCAATACCAAAAAGGTATTTAATGAGTCAAAAATATATATTTTTCTTTTATGACAAATAAAGTTGGAAAATTAGGTAAAGATTTCTTAAAAATTTCAGAACAAAATGTCTATTGTAAATATATCAAAACTCAATCCTTGACTAACAATATGCATGGCCAATCACTTTATTTAGACAACTTTTACAGTGATTTCTCTATATTTGTTTTTATTATATTCTTAAACCCTCAGACTTCAGATTTCAATAGTTGTATCTCAGCCAAATCTTGTGCTACCCTAACAAACATCAATACGAAGCTTATTTATCCAGCTTTCAGGGTGTGTATAAATCTATAAATTCACAACTGTATAAATAAACATTTATGATTAGTTTTGTGGTCTTGGGTCAAATATAAGTCAGTACTGAAGCCAAATCTGGAGCATATCTAACACAATAACTCACGATAACAGTCCAAATATTAGTACACCCAAATTTAAATGTTATAGGAAAATATTAAATACAAACTTAAAAAGTCAAAAGAAGCAAAAAAAAAAAAAAAAAAAAAAGGAAACTTTAGCTGAAATTTTGTAGGTTGTAATTGTTTTTGCAATATTTTGCTTGAGTTTAAGTGTATTATGTTACAATTTCTAAATATTATTTTAATTAATATATCTGTTAAATAAATATGTTTTGTTTAAATACACCAAAATACATTAAATATATTCACTGAGAAATGGATAAAAATATTCAATTTTAAAATGGGGTGTACTCAATTATGCTGCAGCACTGTTTATCTTATCTATCTAACATCTACATTCTAATAAACATTTCTTAGTTTAAAGGTTATTTTGGAGCCCAAAATATTTCTTCTATGGCAATGTTACGAAAATGTTTTGTGTAATGAACCTTTTGCAGCTCCAAACCAAACAAGCTTTTGTTGAAATGAATTCAATAAAAACCCAAAACCATAACTGCATAATTAAAAGTAATCACTGTAATCACGCTGTGCTTTGATGATAGCACCTTTGTTACAAAAAACTTTTTTTTAGACTGAAGAATTTGAATAGTTTGCCAGTGAATCAGATGTTAACCTTAAACCACACTGTTTACAAAAGAGACTGTGTAAAAAGACAATTATCAAAAAAAAAAAAATTCATTTGAGATTCTCAGAAGTTTTAAATATTTTAACAACCAGCAAATAGCAAGAATCCATTCAAAAACTAGTAATGAAATAACTGACATACAAAAAAAGTTTTTATTTTTACCTTTTTCCAGTTGTCGAATAAGTACAACGCCTCCATTTCAAAGCATTGAATCAAACATTTACTGCACCAGAGACTCAAGAAACACTATTTTCTGTCTCTCCAGTGCCTCTACATCTTCATTCAGAGGATACCTGCTCCTATTCAAACTATCACAGACGTGTTTTTACATGCTGCTTTGAGCTAAATCCCACATTCCTGCCTGTCGGCTACAACCCTGATAACAGATGTTACTGCGCTGGTCAATAAACGGATGGAGCTCCATAAAAGAGAGTAGAAAGACGGCGGATTACAGTCAAAGAGGAACAAGAGAGGAAGTTGAACAAGTCGAAGCAAACACAAGCGTGTAATAATGGAAGTATATATAGGTCATCTGGGAAATGTACAAAGACTGACTGAGAGACAGAAGATCTGACAGATTGAGGATGAGTTTGATCACACTCCAAAACTCCGTTATTGCCACATGCCTTTTCTGCTCATCAAAGCCGATTTGCACGATTTCAGAGGCAGTGAGTCACATTTCCATACTAGCGTCTTTATATGGAGTCTGATTCTCTTCCAGATTGCACACGCTCACATTTTTATCAGAGCCAACAATGCGGAGAGCGGCACATTCTCTCCAGTGGAAGAATATAAAGGCTGGTATTGTGTGTCAGATGATAGAGACGCTCACGGTAGAGGATGATAATGATAATGATGAGCTCTGGATGGGAAAAAATATGAAGAAATGCGGTCGACTGAAGGCATGAAGGTCTGGATAGTTGCTCACTCGATAGACTCCTTAATTAAGCTCAGGGGAAACTAACTTATTTGGCATTTTTAAACTTACTTTGAGATACACACTTTAATATATATATATATATATATATATATATATATATATATATATATATTATAATAAAAAATCAAGTTACAATAAAACTACAGGTGAAGGCAAAATTGTTAGACATCCTGCAAGATGTTATTTCTTATTCCACATTTTCCCAAGTGCTATTTAACATAAGTTATATTAACTAATTTCTAATAACTCTCGCATGGTCTAACAATGTTGAGCTTATTGTCTTTATGAGTTATGGGTGTGTTTTGAGAATAAACCAATCAGAGTCTCATCTTCCATTCCCTTTAAGGGTCAGTTGCGTCGTGCCATGGCGCATTTGTTATTTACATGGCGAACTTTGTAAGTGGAAAAACTAAACTGTTCACGAGTGAGAAAACAGTTAAACAGAGAATCTGCAGCGCAAGAATGAGAGAATGATCCTCCTCCAATCGGTCTTTACTTTCACTTTCTCTCTTTCGTGGATAAGTAAACGTGTTGTATGCACAGATATCCATTAGCCTACATGATTAATTTCATTTGTTACGCTCAAAGATTTGCTTAAAAACTACTTTTAATTTTAGTTTTAATTTACAGCAAACGAATAAATAACCAATGATAACAAAGTGTGTTAAAAAAACTGAGTTATATCCAAATACAAGTGCTTTGTCCCATATACTCCAAAACCTGACAGGTAGACAAATCTAAGATAGTTTTATTAAAAAATATAAATATGCATATAATAAATACTACTACTAATAATAATAACATTATACAAGTGTGCAACATTTTACATTTTGCAAGTTTTCGTGAACAAACTGAAAAAAGTCTCCGAGGTGAAGAAGGCATGAAGGTGGTGGTTTATATATATATATATATGTAGAATACAATAAATTTTTTTGTATTTTACTCCTTTAATTTTTTTTCATTAGTAAAGATTTTTGCGTATTGTTTTTACATCTTGCGTGTTTTAAGCAATGTTTAAGCGATTTACGCTCTGCGCTGGACTTAAGATTTGCTTTTAGCTAATCTATTGCAAAATCAATTTTACATCCTTAAAATAGCAACGCGCAACAATGCGCCTTAAAGCTGGATTTATACTTTCGCCTTGCGCTGCATCGCGCATCTCCGCTGACTGCAAGCGCACCACACGAAATGTACGAGGCTTTTATACTTGCTGCGTTTGCCATTGTATTATTCTTTAAAACAACAGGGGACACTCAAAAGAAAATCACTGTAAAGTAAGATGTATAAACAGAGAAGTAGAAAGTTTACGACCTACGTCATATCATTAATATCATTCAATACTTTTAAACTAATTATTTTAATTGTTTTTTTATAAATTATTTTAATGATTTTAAAGATTATTATAACCATTCAAGGTTTTTTTAATCAAACTTTGATGCATCACTTGCTTTTTTTCATATCTTGGACAGTTCTACATATTTTAATTTGATAAAATATTAATGACAACAGAACGTGGGTTGCTCTACAAATAAGTTTTATTATCGCAAAAATAAAAGCAAAAAAAAGTACA